GCGCATTATTAATACACTAATAAAGTGTGATGTTTCCTTGGAAGAGTGTGCCTTATTGTAACTAGATGTTGCGCTCTTCGATGATTTCATCAGTTCCAAAAATCGTGAGATTTGGGGTCTTAATCGTGAGAAAGCATAAAAAATCGCGAGTATTACCCTTGGCTGCCATCTACTCGTCCATATAATAATTTTAGTCAAAGTAGATCACACAGACACAGTAAACATTTTAATACAGTAACACAAATTTTAGTCTTAAATTTAATTTATGCCTTTTGCAAATGAAAGCTTGCCACCTAAATTTTAAAGTGTTTCTTTGTGTGGCAAGCTTTTGTTTGCACAAAGTACAAGACGTTTTACGACCATGTCAAGTCCGTAATCCTTTGTTTACATTTTGAACTGCTATATTTGTAAAATAAGACATACTAACTGAATATCCAACACTTTTCCGGTTCGCTATTGTAAATGAATATAAGTCATATAAACTAGAGTAGGCCTACGTTTCAATTCAAAAAAGTTCGAAAGACACAAAATTTGGGCAATGTTTATATCTGTGGGAGAACGGACTGGACATGGTCTTTAAGGCTAAAACGTGCTTACTAATATACTGATATCACAGAATATAACACAAACTCTGTCAATTCAAACATCTTTAATTACAAATTTCAACAAATAACAAATACAGAGCAATGTTTTCTAGCAAATTTGCAAGACAAATTTAAATGTCAAGCATTGGTTATGGCATCATCACACTCTTTGTAGATTGTCACTGATTCTATGGCATCAAAGCTCTCAACCTCGATAACTGTGTCGCACTCTGAACTCAAAAGTTGATTGATCTCATTAGAATGAATATCCGAGACTTCCACAGCACCTGAACAGACTGTAATGACTGACAGACTGACGTGTAGTTCTAAGGTACTTGTGGCCATTCCAGATGCCAACACGAGCACTTGTGATGGTGTAAACGTTGCCGTCTTCCACTTCGGCAATATTTTGTTCCCATAAGTGAAGTAAAATGACACCAGTGCTATCAACGAATGCACCTTTTCGAAGTCCCTTTGTGATCCGCCCCGCTGTTATTTCTGGAAGTAGTTTCACTACTTTTCCACGTACGTTTACAATATCGAGAGGATCATGCCCTCGGATAACCGTACTGATGAAAGTTATGTTGTCTTCTTGTTCAGTGTACTGGAACGAATACTCTGTTTGATTTGGAACCGCTACGCTGGTCATGTCGTTAATTATGACCTTGCTACCATGCGTGGTTTTTGTGAAACAATCGACTTCTCATCATCAACAGTGGAGGGCAAGTGTTATATCATCATATAATCTCATCACTCTCAATGTACAAACACAAGTCTATACATCCACGTTTGTTCGTTAGCAGTCAAAAATAAACCCATAAACCGAACCTGTTCATTAGCGAAGCTGGCCCAAATAAACTATTCTAGTTACTCAACACTCCAACCTATAAGTGTAGTCTTAAAGGTGACATCATCGTGCTGACCCTCTGTGTAATGGAAAGCTCTCTAATAAGGACTCTATCCATTCTATATCCTCTACATGATCTATAGTAGTCGTTTATCATAAATTCTAGACGTATATGCCGATTAATTTTTATCGCTGTATTGTAAAATTCATGAATAATTAATAAGGCCACAAACAAATCACAATGTGGTATTTAGGTCACATGTGCACACTTGTAAACCACATTAAAGATCAGAAACAATACTAATTGAGAAGCATGGATGTTTATGAAAGTTAACAATACCAATTGAGATTTTAAATGCATGCTAATGACTTGTGAGATTATCCCCATGGGCAGAGAATACTAATAAAGTAAACAAATAAATTCATTTTACAAGTATGTTAAAATATTCTCAACTGATCTTTTATAGGCATTAACTACTCATTTACTGCTGATATTTTAACTGTAGTAGTTAAGCATGTTTCGAAGGGCTACAGAAATTTAATATAAATTCACATCATGTTTTTTTCGTTTTCTCCAATTATATATAGTTGGTAAATAACGTAAACTATAGGCAACTCTGTTTTTGGGATGCATCACCAGCTTATTTTGGTAATGGAGACAGGACAAACAAGTGTCTATTTCTGGCAACGTCATCCACGTTCTTAATGATACTGGGGGTGGAAGAGGGATATTTTTCCTTAAATATTTGAAATTCATACCTCTAAAATCCATATTCCTATAGGCTATACCTTCAAAATCCTAAAAAAACTGTCGACGGGGTAGGGGATATTCATTCAATTTTTGTTTTAAATATTCCATATCCTACCATCTATATTCATATTCACACTGCGTCAAAACCCAGTTTTCAATGTTCAATTCATATCCATACAGCATAAAATGTGTGCATAAAAATTATATGCATACAGCATAAAATGTGCCCATAACTTACTATTTGCTTTATAATCAAAGACCAATTGAATATTAAAGTTAAAATTTTGAGCTAATTTTGTTTCAAAAGGGCTCGAGTTACAAGAAATATATAGAAATCTAACATAGGATCACATCATATTTCTTTGTTTTCTCTATCTATAGTCCGTAAATGTTGATGTAAACTATAATCTAATGTCTATTTTGGGATGTGTCACCAGCTATTTTTGTGACTGAGACAGGACAAGCAAGTCTCTATTTTTGGAACGCGTCATCAGCTTTTTTTGGGTCGCAGATTAGAAATTATACATAAATTGTCGTCTTAACGTCTTCGGATAACTGATAACTGTATTGACCACATGCACTATGGAAACGCAAGAAGAGAAACCACATACAATTAACAATCTCTTGACTTGCCAGAGAGTTCAGTTAAATGCAAGAAGACAGCTTAAACGCTGTCACCACAATCTTAACTCGTCAGATTAGCATTTTGGATGCGAAAGACGAGGAGATGTCCACAGACATCGCAACAGACCTTCTGATTCACAGGTCTATCACAATGTCAACGGTGGGAAATTGTGAATCTCATATTGACCAAAATACAAGCAACAAACGAGCAATAAACAAGCCCAGTCAAATGCCACTGCTTGCAACTTGCAATTTACTTCCAAATACTACTATATTAACAGATCATTACCTTGATATACCTCCAAAAATATCAGTTCCACATAAAACCATCACTGTAGACCATACGTTTGAAACAGAAGCTTCGAACAATAAGCGAAATTGTACATCTGAACAAAATTGGCGATTTTCGTCAAAGTTCTGTAGGTTAGAGTACTGGTTAGAGGTAAACCAAAGTAAATTAAAAACAAAAACATGTTAAACTAAGCGTGACCAAGAACCCTCTTGGATACCTGCCAAAAAAGTATTGGAACAAATGAGAAAAAATAAGCAGTTAAAATATAAAATTAAGTTATTTATAAAACATGATGTTCCTAAGTCTTCATTATGGCATAAATTCCTTTCCAAGACATACAGAAAATATAGTTATTACCACATAGCGAATGTCTTCGAAAGCTTTAGAAAGATCGTTCCCACGTAGATTAGAAATTAAAAATACATACTTGGCATACTGCTCCAATTTAAAAAGACAAAGAACGAACAATTCATTGTTAGGTTCATTCTCCACATGAACCTAATATTCAAAGGGCTCAGTGATCTGTTTTGATTGAACAACTGTTACTAATAGATCACAAACCAGTTAATATTATCGGTGATGGGACTGCTTTTTCCGAACTGTAAGCCACCAGCTGTATGGGACAGAATGTAGCCATTTGCAAATATGCTCAATAGGAATTCAGCATCTTATTAACCACCCAGAATATTTTATAGAAAGTAACACTGAACCTTCGTGGTTACATTATATTCAAAATATGTCTTGTGACGGAACATGGACTGATAATATGATCATTCAGGCCGTTTCAAATGCTCTCAATTTAACAATTCATATAGTCGAAACCGCACCCTATTTCTCTGAGACTACAATTATACACCCTGGAAATGTCCAGCCACAGAATACGAGACATATATATGTATATATTGGGCACCTAGACGAAATGCACTATGTTTTCACATTGCAAGTCAACAGAGTGGACTGTGTACAGTTTCAAAACTGGCAAAATGCCCCTCTAAACCCAACAGACGGGAAAAGCCAAAATGAGACAAAAAACTGTAATAAATACAATAACTCGAGCTGTAAAACGTTCATGAATGTGAATCCAGCGCTCAGTGCCAAAGTCAAGAACTGAGTACATGAGAGAATATCTGAAAAAAAAGATAGACTACCAGTTTAAGCAAAAGGAAATGGAAAAAAAGAATATACAACAAAAAATACTGACAGGCAAATCCTGATAGAGTCAAGGAACATAACAAGAAAGCAAAGACAACTTATAAACAATTGAATCCTAATCAAGTTAGGACGTACGTCAGTCAAAGCATCAGTCGAAAAATATAGGCAGTCAAATGCAGATAAAGTTAAGGAATTATTTAAGACTTCCTCAAAAAGATACAGACAAATGAATCATGAAAAAGTAAAAGATATTTTTAAAGCTGCCACTACAAAATACAAAAAGGCAAACCCTCAGAAATTTAGGGACGTTTCCACTAAAGCCACTGAAAAATACAGAAAGGCAAACCCTGAAAAATTTAAAGAGATTTCCTCTAAAGCCACTGAAAAATACAGAAAGGCAAACCCTGAAAAATTTAAAGACATTTACACAAAAGCCACTGCAAAATACAAAAAGGCAAACCCTAAAACTTTAAAAAGTTTCCACAAAAGCCACTGAAAAATACAGAAAGGCAAATCCTGAAAAATTTAAAGAGATTTACACAAAAGCCACTGCAAAATACAGGATGCATAACCATGAAAAAGTTAAACATCTTTTCATAAAGGCTACTGTGAAATACAGAAAGGCAAACCCTAAAAAAGTATGGACGTTTACTGTCGTTCCAATTGAAGTGTTGCTAAAATATTGATTCAATACATTACCTCGGGCTGACCAATTCATTTGATCAAGTTCCTCGAGATATTCATACACTTCCTGTGAAAATTGACCAATCACAATTCTTATTTGATTTAGATAAAAATCAA